GGCTCAAGAAATACAAAATTCAGACAGATTCGAAGACGATCACGACACACGGTCAGGTCGTCGTGCGTGATGCGGTGAGCAAAATTGAGTTCAACCCATTACACGTTCTGGCAGTTGTGGGAGACAGCGCGTCTGTTGGACCTTGCCCCTCCTTTTCTTCACACTGCTTCAGGAGTTTGCGACAAGACTGAACAATTGACCTTGACTACCTGGCGCCAAATACAGTGCACGCTGCAGTGACGTAGGTCTAGTCTCTCTGTCGACCGTTGCTTGAAGAATCTGATATCTGCCCACCCACGCAGGGCGACCTATGAGCACGTTTTCCCACAAATATGATACAGATGCCCCGCTAAAGCAGCAGGCAGGTACACTTTTTGACCCGGTATTCAGCGTTTTCTCAGCTTTGCGATATATGTCTATCGCAAAACCCGCTCTTCACGTACGCTCGATCATATTCCAGCGTGATCACGGAATACTGACGACACCACACAAGCACTCATGTTGAACGGTGTGCTGACTGCCTGAGACAGCGTAGCTCACCCCGAAGACATCATGATCAGCACGCGAGGCACTTGCAATCGGAACGCTGCCAAACGACTTTCAGCTCAGAGGGCCGCTTCGCGAAAAAATGGCGAGCTTTGGCGGAGTGTGCGAGGACGACCGTTCTTCGTTCTGATTCATAAACATCATGGTGATCTCTTGCCGTGAGGTGCAAAGTGTCAAAATTGTGTAGCCTTGGGCTGTCCACTGACTAAAGATCCCAAGATTTGAAATCCTTTGAGTCCTTTCTGGACTGTTTTGTAAAGTTTCAAAAGTGTGAAGGATAGCGCCAAAATTTGCTTTGGTGCAATCGCTCGTTAACATGGAGAACTTAGCCTGATGACGGCAGTCTCTTTCGTGTAAATCTCACGCAGGCAGACGACCCAGGAGCAAACATGCGGACTGGCATTTGAGTGTCAAATACTTTCCAACCCAGAAGGATAGGCATGGACACTAAGCTCGAAACATCTGTCTAAACTTAAGTCGCAAGAGTCTCAAGGTTTTCTTCTTCCTTTCTTCTGGTCAAGCGTTGTATTCGGTGATGCTGTTGAGAGACGATGACATCGCATTACCCCTTATTGGCTACAAGCTCTCCTTTACCCCCGATCTGTGCATCTCATTTGAAGCGGCCTATCGTTGGTGCTCCGGCGATGTGACGCCTCAGCAAGAGCTCTCGATATACCAAAGTCGGCGCGACCTCTGCGAGGGTCCAAATACTTGAGGGTGTTTCGTTATTCCTACAGTCAGTCAAAAGTGGCGATTGAATGCCCACCGCTAGAGCTGCAGCGCTCACGGACTTGATGTCCGAAATACGAATAGATCTACAATCTTAGCGAGAACAAGCTGTACATGCTGGACAGCATTGGTCGCCGCTTTTTCCTGCAATTTCAGGCTGAGAAGGCCCGCCTCTGTTTTCCGAAATGGTTTGCTCGACAGCATCTGCTATCATCAACGTACGTTCTTGATTTGACATATGGAAACATACCGAGATACAGCATCATGTCGCGTGGGCAGCCTCGTTTGGCGAATGCTTCTGTCAAGTCCACGCGTCGAGAAAGGGGGTGCGTCCTATTATCGCCGCAAAATGTAATGGCGCGTTTTTGTGTGACCTTCAGACCCTCCACGGCGTGCAAATTTCTCCCCTATGCTGTGCGGATGAGGTAAGTCTTGCAACGCACAAAGAGAGAAAGAAAAGCTCTAAACTGCGCCCAACGGCGCAAAGCACGCAAGAACGGCTCTGCGCGAGCTTTACTTCCGCCTGAATTCTACAGGGCCTTTGGTGTTTGCTTGTTAGCGTGCTTTTGCCAAGCTTCCGTACGATGCACGCAGCAACCAGACTGTGCCGTCTTCGTTGCGCAGCTTTCGGATTGAATAAGTCTCGATTTTTAACATGCTGACGGTGACGGAATGCCATGATGAGTTTCTAAGTAGAAATGTAGCGTGGCTCGAGTACGTCGAGCCCCAAAAACTGGCAGCTTTTTGCGTCTTCACAGTGAGCTCACTTTCGGTCTCAAGGGCCCACAAAATTGCTGTGGAAAACTCGTCAGATTCTTTACTAACAAACAACGCTTTGCTGGCGCCGCCTTGCTCGCACGCTAAATTTTGGATTGAGCAATAGAATATTCAAGACTGAGCGATTGTCGCATATGTCCTCGGATCTCTGGCCATCGAGTTGGAGGCAGCAAGAGCTGTATCGGACATTTAACAAGTGCAGCTGATGTATGGTGCGCTTTTCGAAAGGACGTGTCAGGGGCAACGTCTCGACTTATCGTGAGCTTTGTTTGTGACCCTACGCATGCCACCCGGCAGCTCATAACTGCATCGGCACTTCCAGCCAGCCGCTTTCGCTGACCCAACGACAATCTCAACTCGGGCCACCCTTCTTCGGCGTTCATTCTTTCCTCCAATGATTGCCATATTTTGCAGATGGTGCGCATTGCCGCTTATGCTTCATAGAAAAAGTCCACCACTACCTCAACAAGCGTCATTCGTCTGCTTGCACTCTCGACACCTGGCTCTTTGTTTCTCGAGAGCCGTGGAGCACAACATCTGGAGCCAGGCCGCTGTCTGGAAAGGCATGTGTGGCTTTTTGGGGCTGACTTGTTACGTGTCTCGGATACACAATTCTGCTTAGTGTGTGTATCCGAGACACGAGTCTTGCAACGACGCCAACGCGGTAGCGCAGAACGTGGTAGCGCGAGCGAGTTTGCGTAACAGCGGAGAGTGCGGAAAATCGCGCAAGAATGAACACAGCCCTCGAGTCTCTGCGAGTGACGACGGGGTCAGCCGAGGTGGCACAGGATATGTTTGTGTCGCCCGTCCGGGTAGCGGTGAGGCCAATTGCTAAAAGAAGGTAAACAAGTGGGCCTTTGAAGAATATCTAAGAGACATTGTCGCGCATGGTGACAGCAGGGACGCCGGCCATAGTGAAGGACTTGGTGATTATAGCTGGCTCGACAACTTCCATCATGGCCTGTTTGCAAGTGTTAGAAGCACCGAAGGGATACGCGCTAGACCTAGAAGTGTAGTTTGTGGCATAATGATACTGCCAAATAGCTTCAAGATTTTGTCACGGCAGTTCAGGCGCTCCCGATCAGCAGTCTTCTGAAATTGCCGTCGTCGTTGAGCAACGTGGCCGGGACGCTGCTTTTGAGCGTGGACATTGTCATCAGCAGGATTTGTCATGGTAGACTTTAGTGGTTGGGATGGCGCGCGCCTCCTGCCGGTTGCTTGGGCCATGTGGCTCCGAATAAGCTTCATTTGCGATAGGCGGGCCGACACAGCAGGCACACATCCTGCAGACACGCGGGCTGATCAAGACGTGAGTAGTCAGAGCATGCTCAACAGCTTTGTTGTCCTTCGCCAGCGCCGGGTGTCTGATCAAGCATCGGAGATCCTCGCTCTATGCATGACGGCGGCTGTGCAACCTCTTGAGCGAGCCGGCACACCTGGCGAAGAGCCAAGCAAATACGGATGGCTGGTACAAGCTTGGTGGGCCACACTCTTCACTTGACATACTACCGCCACGGTCGCGCTGCACATCAGTCTCACCCTGTGGCATTGTGATGGTCATCTGTCCGCGCAGGCTACCTTAATGCGCTGAGGAGTGTGTCTGCATGCATCAGCTCTGACACGCCCTTCACCAAACGCAAGCCCGTCTGAGCTCCATTTTCACGCGACTTTCCCAAGCGTCCGAGACGCGCGACCTGACGCGCCTCATGCATATAAACAGCAGGGTGCATGCATCGACTCTACCTTCTCACTCACCATCATCAATGGGATAACCTTATAGTACAAGGCAACCTCGACGCTAGCACGAACGGCGACTACAGCATCGTTGACCAGCAAGTGCCCGAGAGCCAGCAGGCAGCCACATTGCCGACTAGCACGGAAAGCATTGTGAAAAGCATCAAAGATGCCCGCTTGCGCGCGCTATGCGACCAAGCTCTCAAGACGGAGCCCCTCATACTCGCGGCGTCTGGATTGGACGAAGCCGACGAGTCGGCTTTGATTGAAGATCGTCGCGAAGAAGGAGCAACGGCCACACATGACGACCTTCTCGATGGTGAGAGATGAACGGCACCACAGTCGTCGAATCATCGACTCTTCGCATACTTACTTGACCCAAACACTGGTGGACAGCACCCCGGAAGAGACCCCGCGCTCTACCGGAGTGGCGCATACTTAGGGGGACATGGGGAAAGGAAGAAAAGTCTGGCTTTCCTCGAACGCACGATGAGGTTGGTAGCGGCGCAGATGAGCACAGCACAGAGCACGGCAAAGGGAAAGGCAAAGGGAAAGGCAAAGGCAGAGGCACCATGCGGCGTGGCGTGCCTCAGCTCGCGAGTGAGGTGGACCCTGATAATCTGACCGCACTCGATGAAAGCCAATGGGAACACTTGACACACGACTCGATCGTGCAGGAAGGTCGCAAAGTTCTACACGAGTTCCGAACGCAAGACAAGGCCAGTTGGCAACGAGAGTCGCTTTCTGGCACCTCTGACCACTTGGGGGTGTACAGTCTGCGTATGAAGAACATCAAGGTGCGCGTAACCGTGTGTCGCACTTTCGATCTTCAAGAGGCTCTGAGCGGGCGAAGCACTTCATCTCTGCCCAAGCATAGCTTTGTGAGTACTCCGAGCGTAGTCAGACTTCATGCCAAGTGCTCTCATCGCCGGCTCTGGCCTTGTCCAGTCACGGAAGCGCACACCCACTCTCCACGGGGGCTCCTCGCCCAATTACGACATTATACTTGATCGGAAGGGTCGACAACTAACATTTCAACGATGGGGCTTGGGGGAAGATGCACCCCTTGCACGAGCTTTGGGGTCTGTGCTGAGACCTAATCAGCGCCGAGAACCTAATCACGAATCGGCGTCCCAGCCGCAATCACACCCACAGCATGGCGACAATGCACAGCTCACGACCTCACACGTTGGACCGGGAAGCCTGCGAAAGTTGCAGATCGAACAGATTGCAATGCTTGCGGAAAGTGTAGATGCTCGAGAACAAGAGGTGAATACGCTTCTTTCCAAACACCACAATATCTGCGACCAGCACAGGGATGTCACTGCAAAATCATCTAATGAAAGTCCTCGAGTAGAAGCAACGCGCGGATTACCTTTACAACAAGACGACATTCGTGCCCAGCATAGAGACGGCGGTGCAGCGTCACCCAATGAAGACCTCGGATTGTTTGAGCAGAAATGCGAGGCAAAGAGGGCGCACAAAGCGCGCGCAAAGCTATCACGCCTGTACTACAAGAGGGCGGAACTCCGCAAAAGCAGGGAATCGGAGCTCGTGCTGCTGCAAGCATGGGCTCACACGTTGACAATGCCAAGCAAGGAGATTGTAAAAGAGGATGCACCGCCACGTCGCTATGCGCACGTTCGCCTCAGAGTTCCCGAAGACGAGCACATTATCGATCCGACGTACAACGTCCCATTGAAGCAGCATCGTCAACTTCTGCTTCCTTTTTTGCTTGGTCAAGAAATGACAAGTGTGCTAGACGAAGTCAGGCAGACTTTCGCAAGAGGTTTCCCGGGCGCCTATGCGGTGCACAATGACGTCAGACTCAGAGAGCTGCTCAACGTAGTGCCAAAACACGAGTTTGCCAACAACTCGAGGGAAAATAGAGAGACACGTCGACGCAGAGGCGCATTGATGGCACCTTGGACTTCTGTCAGTCTTGAGATGCCACATCATGCGCTAGCCTCGCCGTCCTCGACTCCGGATGACGGCGTGTCGAGTCTGGAGCTGAGTGCCATCACCCATCTTGGGTGTTTTACAGGTGCTGTCTTGTTTCTATCGAGCCTTGGAATTCCCATCGCTTCCAGGCCCCTGCTCGACGTCACCATTCTTCCAATGGAGCTCTGTGGATGCGTCGATGAAGGCGCAATGCAGGGGACTCGTGTGGCCGTTCGTCTCTCCACTCCGCCGGCGGCGCTCAAGACTTGGTCGAGAGAGCTCACCCTCGACGATTTTCCGCAATGGCGAGCTTTTGCGCCCGCAAACGCAGACAACGACTCGGCAGCATCGGCACCTGCCGTTCCCGACGTGCTGCAAAAAGCCACATAACGGCATCGACGGAACGAAACGAGTGTGCATCTCGCAGAGCAAGACGGTATGCATGTGGTTGGCGTTCGGACGACGCTAACATCGAAGCTGCATTGGCATTGAAGAACGACGTTCGCTACATTCGCTGGCAAGTCAAAGACCTGGCGCGTCTAAAGTGTCTTGAACCAGAGAGTGAATTGGACGCACAGCGATCATCACTCTGATGTCATGTAGCCACAACGTTGATCAGAGTACAGCATCAGGTGGGTCTGCTTGCACACGAGCGGACGCGCTCTCAGCTGGGTCGAGCTGCCTCATCAAATCCAGCGTGAGACGGGATTGAAAGTCAGACGGCCGAGCTGCTGGTCCATCGACGTGCACCGGGTTGCGGCGTACATCGTACGCTCCTTTTTGAAAGCCTTTTGGGACAGTGACTTTGCCGACGACTCTACCATGACTTGTAGCATCAAAGATGTGAGCTTGCAAGGCGGTTTCGAATTCGCGGCCTTGGCCGTCACCAGATGTCTGAGTCAAGCGGCCCTTGGAGTCCAAGTGCCACATGGTTCCTGGCTTGACCCAGTAAGCCCACTTGTCGCCGGGCTGCACGACGGCACGGACTACGCCCGCAAAGTGCTCAACGTTGGTGGCTGGATACACTTCTGGGTGCCGGTACATGGCATGATCGTGTGCGGCATATTGTTGCATGTCGGGTCTCGTGGCGACTGTCGACTCTGACGATATGGGCAACGAAGGTCTTGCGGAGACTAAATGAGACTGCGAAGCTTCTGCATCTGCCAATTTGCCACAGCAGAGCTGTTGGAGCCAGGAGTAGAGAGGCGCATTGAGCGCCCAACGTCGTAACGATTGCCCCCCGACGTACTCACAAAACCTTTCAAGGGGAGTGGCGCGGCCACGCGGGCCAAAAGGCTGATCAGAATGAAAATTTTGCAGTCGATTGCAAGGAGCATGGTGGCGTGTGGTAAGAGCTGTGCTCTGCGGGGGACAGGATGGAAGCAAGAGAGGGCAGTTAGGGTCACCCTTTTGTACGGAATCTGGTCGCATGTCTGGGATGTTTTTCGGGTGGCGCAGACGGCATGGTTTGGTACAGTGTGATATGGTTGGAAAGGCAGGCGCAAGCGATGGGATGCGGTGTTTTGCCTTTCTCTTGTGGATGTCAGACTGAGGAGCAAAGGTCCAATGCTGTAGGCGCGTGTGGCAGATCACTGGGTGAAAGAGTCAAGCTACGAGGCATCCTATGCCATCTGCCGCACATGAGGCCCTCTTTCAGTGCAGCCGTGGATGCTGTCTGGACGCTGCAAGCGAGTTCCACGCGCGCCCGACGCGGATACGCAAGCTTTGGAGGGCATTGCCTCTGTCAGACGAAGTGGCATGCGCCTGTTCGAGACCGAAAGACGCAGCGGTCGCGCTACGGTAGCCCTTCCCTGCAGCAGCTTCAAGCAATTTTTGGCGAACAGATTGCGCTTCGACGTGGGCAAGAGGTGCCCGCACCGGAAAGGCGTCCGTTTGAGATCTCCACCTCGAATCCCAAAGAGGCGAGTCGAAGGACGAAGCGGCGGATGGAGGTGTTGTTGGAGCTTCGCTGCTGGCCTTTGAGATGCGAAGGGGCAGACAAGTCTCGCACTTGAAGGTGGTGTCGTTCTCAGCAGCGTTCGTAAACGCATGGGTGTGATTTGCAGCAATGCACTCACCAATGACATTAAGCTGATGGGAAGCGCGCCAGCCTGCGTCACCATCAGCATGCTTGCCGTGGCGATGGACAGAATGTTGAGGTGCATCTTGCAGTGTATGCGGTGCGCAAGAGTGACTCGAGTCGTCGCAACAGTGATGGGAGCAAGTCTGGCCTGGGAGTCTCGTGCCGATCAAGAGTGGGTGGGCCTTTCGCGGCGTTGGTGCATCTAAGACACTCGCTACGTTGTCGAGCAAAGCCCCTTCGCCACCACCGCCATTTCCGAATTTTTGGTTTGCCCATGGCGCAAGACACGCCCCCCTTGCGCCGTAACCTAAACGTCGCTGGTACACTCACAACTCACGATTACACGCCAAAGGCGAGCTGCAGAGGCGGAGCCGTGTGGAATGGGGGGCCTCACCACCGATCCCTTTGATCGAGACGCGTCGTGGGGCTTGCGAATTTCACATTCCCTTGCGAGGGTCTTAGAGTAGGTTGAGGCCAAGCCACAAGTCAGGCCAAGGCATCATACATTCGTGATTCCGCACTCGGACCGTCACTTGGCACACAAAGGCTTGATCGTGCTACGTGACTTGCGCCGACGCTTCGTTGGCGTCGTCGCCTTCTTCAGCTTTCACTACGATCATTCTTTCGCAATCTCCCTACGCGACATTCACGACAGACCTTGCTCACGAGTCATTGTTGCGACGGTGGATTTCTGACGAGTGCCTTGTGCTGAGCGCAACACTATCCTGCCAGCTCACCCGTCCGCATGTTGGATCGGGTCTCGATCATCGCCACGTTGCGCGCTCTGTTTCGAATCGTCTTCTTGATCGACGGCGTGCTCTCGGCGACCCGCCTTACTTGCCACCTCTCCATTCGCCACCTCTGCAGCTTGCCCATTCTCCGCACCGAGCAAAGGTCCTACGCGAAAAGCGAAACTGTCTGCGCTACCCAGCGAGGAAGCGGGAGAAGAAGTGCGGGAATGCTGCAGCTCAACTTCGGACTTGAGATCATGGCCCAGACGTTGAGCGTCATGTTCGATGGACCGCGCTTCTCCCTTTGACGTCGCTGTGAGCAAAGGCGATGCGTCGGGTACAAGTTTGGCGGAGGTGGAAGAAGTGCCAGCAGCGACGCGCGGGTGCGTGTCGCGCGAGTCATGCGCGTGCAGCGGGCTTGCTGCAGGAGAGTGGTGACGCGTGCTGGAGACTGTGACTGCAGAACGAGCTGGACTCACACTGGCACTCACACTGCTGGCCAAGGCGTGTGGCGGGCTGCTGGAGCGTGAAGCGCGCCTCGAGCCGGCTGGAGATGGCTTTTTGAAGTCCATGCCGTCGTCTGCGTCTGCGTCTGCGTCCGCATCGTCGTCGCTGTCGGATGGACGACGACGATGAGAATTGTGGGCATGCTGTGCCTCCATCTCTTGAAGCGTCTGCAGCGCTTCTTGATTGTTTGGTCTTGCTTTTGGTCCGTGCACGTGAACCGGATTTCTCTCAATGTCGTAGACGCCCTTTTGCTTCGACATGGACGGCGGCAGCTTCCACGAGCCCACCACCTTGCCGTGGTGCACAGCGTCAAAGAATTGATTGTTTGGCCCCACCATCAGCAGCTTGCCTTGGCCGGGCGCCTGGCTCTGGCCAGATCCGCGCCTTTGCTCCATCCATCCGGCAGCAAAGTGGCGGAAATGGGATCCTGGCTTGGCCCACATTGCTACGGAATCGCCTCGCAAGGATGTCCCCTTGACGTGTCCATCGTACTGCAAAGCGTGCGTATGTTCCTCCAAATTGCGATTCACCTGTCCGTAGAGACCGTGAGAGTCAAAGTCCGGATGCGCGTAGCCCAGTGGATGTACGACGTTGGGCACATTGTTGCGGTCGCCATGAACCGCCGAGGCGGGCGAGAGGCGCGCGAAGCGTTGTGGAGATGGTGAAGGCGGACGAGAGTTTGACGGTGTTCCCAGAGGCGAATGCATCGGGCTCCTCTGCGGCGACGGGTAGTAGGCGTCTCTATGCCTGCGGATGCTATGAGGTGGAGATGGAGATGGCGATGGCGATGGGGAAAGTGATCGAAGCTGCGAGTACCTGTCGGATGCGGACCAGCGGCTGCTCCGGTCAGAATCATCGGAAGGCGCCTGTCGCGAAGGAAATGGCGTCGACATTTGATCTTGCGACGCGCCTGACCAGCGATCAGACAGAGACTGCGGGGCCTTGCCGTCGGGCGACTTGCCCTTGACACCGGTCGAAGTCCGCTCGAGTCGCCTTGATCTTCGCCCCTTGGATGTGTCTTGTAGCGCCTTGGTGTCTGACAATGCTGTGCGCAACTCTCGCTGCGTCTGTGCAAATAGCCGCGCTTCCCTGGAGCTTGGAGTCGTCGAAGGATGAGGAGAGGCAGTGGCAGGATAGAAGAGGGCGCTGCTGCTGCTGGCGCGTAGGCCAGGTGATGTGGGTGCATCGGAACCGCTGGCATAGCCTCGATGGCGGGAGTCGCCTGGGGAGCGACCATGGTCTTGTCTAGCGACGGAGGTGCGAGGCGTAGTGTAGTGAGCAAAATTTCGACTCGAGGCTGTGGCAGACGTGCCTGCCACCTCGTTCGTTGGCGAAGCTCCTGAATTTGCGCTTCGAAAAGAGCGGTCATGAAAAGAGCGACTGGGCGAGGGGGTGGGAGTGAAGCGTCGAGGCACGGCCGATCGAGGCGCCGAGCGAAGCGCATGCAGAGAGGAGCGCGAGATCGCCTCGAGGTCTTGACGCCACAATTTGTCGCGTTCCGACGCGTCGGGAGTGCCAAACTTGAAGCTTTCTGCTGCACCCGCACCCGCACCCGCACCCTCAGAAGGTCCGACTGCGGGCGTCGGCTCGTGAACGAGACAATTTCTGCACTGCGGATGCCAGCGAGGCGAGGTTTTGAGCGCAAGACGTTGGTCCGAGCGAGACTTATGTGCACTCACTAAATTTCTCAAGGGATTGGCCAGCGCATCGCTGAAGAGCAGCGACGCCAGAAATGCGAGAGCGCAATTTGAATGTCTCATGTCGTTGCAAGCTTTGTGCAAGATTGGATGCGAGCAAGCCAGCTGCTCATCCCCCGAGGCTTTGGACAGGAGCACATCTTCTGCTTGGTGTTTTGTATGCGGCATCTCGAGTGGCGAGGGGCGAGGGGCGAGGGGCGAGGGGCGAGGGGCGAGTGCGTTGAGTGGCGAAGTATCCACCTCGAAAGTGACAGATCCTCGTAGGGAGCTCCAGTGCGGAAGGGGGGGAGGAGAAAGAAGGTGCAACGCTTCGCGCTCAAATTTCCATTCACATTCCGAATTATTGCTTGCCGCCGCTGTCATGCTGAACACAGAGAGGTGGCTCGCCGCACGTTACATGCGGAAACGTCTGAGGTAAGATTGCTTGGTAGATTGACCGCATGGCGCTCATGATTGCAGTCTCTCTACATTCGAAGCTTTGCGATGCCGCCAGGCCGGCTACAGTGAAACAGCGCGAGGGGGGGTGGCAATATGAATGCCAGTCGTGGGGTGGCGCCTATCAGGTCGCCGCGGTCGCGTTTCGGGTAAGCACCTTGTGGTCAGAATGGAAAAGACGGCTCACGTGGCACCTACATGAGATACAGATCGCTCAAAGCTACCGACTACTCTCAAAGTGTCCTGCATCAGCGAATCGACGCTTTTGAAGTGCACAGTAGTGACTTGCAAGACTGACGGACAGACTCGGCAGGTGGACGCTGATGATTGCTTTGCGGCGAATGTCTATTCGGTTTACAGTGCTGCGCGATGTGAGAGAAGACGTGAATCTACACGGAGCGGGTACTCAGTGAGAGCAATCGCGCATGGCCGTTCGTGCACGGACTGCGCGCTACTGGAGCTGCTCATCATCAGCTGCACCAGGATGTCCCTACGCTTGATACTGTCTGGCGGTGTGAGTCGTTGCTGGCTTCTTCACTGCTGACTGCTGCCAGAACAGAACAGTCAGTCATGCACGCCATCTTTTCGACGTGCGAAGCTTGCTCTCAGCAGCAGCACCATGCTTGCGCCAGTGCGGTGTGGATGTGGCCGAAGACGGCGCGGACGACATCTCCGCTTCCCTGCGGTCCTGAATCGATCGAAAGGTGCGCTGCGCATCTTTGATGTTGGGCCGCGCCTCGGGACCATAGCGATGAACGGGATTCGCGTCAATGTCGTAGACGCCCTTGAATTTGCGGAGCTTGCGCTCGACGTCAAAGCCTCCGATCACCACGCCGTCTTGCACGGGGTCAAAGTACACCGTTCCAGCTTGATGCTGCATCTTGGTCCCGTAGAAGCGCCCCCTTTCATCCGTGCGCACCATGTGCTCATCTTTCAATCGCCATTCGGCGCCCGGCATGCCCCAAACCGCCTTGAGGTTGCCCTTTGCATCCAATCCTTGTACAGCGCCATGAAGTCGGCGAGTAGCAGTGCAGTCTTCGTGATTGGGTGAATCTTGACAATCCAGTTTGCCGTACATGTCCAACTTGCTCTTTTTGGGATTTGCATACTTCCACTCCCTGTACGGCGGGCTCGTGTCCCAAAAGCCGCGCCGCGGCGTGGATGCTCTGGCTTCGTCCGACTTTGATATGCAGCTTTTGCACTGCTGGGGAGTGTGTCCAACGTCAGCTGAGCAAGACGAGGCGCTCATCCAAGCGACGCACGAAGAGAGGCGTACCGTGCGAGGGCCAGATCAGCAAGCACAGGGCGAGAATGAAGCGCATCTTGCGTAAACTTTTGAAGAGAGTCGAGGCTGTAGAGACAATTGCAGACGCTGCAGAAGCAATGGCGACACACAGTTGTGCGAGCGTTCACGCTAGCAGCGTCACCTCTTGCACGCGTGTCAAGGATCACACACAGCTGCTCATAGTCGAGTGGCACAGTCTGGCTCGCCGCGAATGTGGGCAGTCAGCGACCGCCGATCGTCAAGGTTTGGTGCTTTGCAGGAGCAAAGATCGTGGCCCGTCTGCGCACGGATGCTTCTGCCACTTTCACTCGTCGAATCGGTACATCGGATCGGATATGGAGGCGCTGTAGGGGTCGCCACAGGTGGACCTGCCTTGGCCGGATTGGCGTAGCGTGCGATTCAAACCCAATCGAGTGGCAAGGAGCAGTCGGAAATGCGTCTTGGACGCCTGTCCACCAGACGAGTCGCAATCTGGTTGCACTGGCGCGGAAAAAAGTTTGTCTCCATCGCTCACATTCACGAATAGTATGACATTCTCTATCGCGGCGTCGAGATGGAACGCCTTTTGGCTTTGTGTATTCGGTGCCGAGAAACGGGCAAGTCGAAGAGGGAGATGGTGCAATTACTCTGGGTGAAAACAGACAAGCTTTGTAAATCGTGGTAATGGGCCCATGTCGCAATGGCTGGAGCCACACAGAAAAGCATGCCAGTCTCATAGTCGTCCATCAAGAGTAGGGCGAGTGCCAGGAAGGAGATGGACGAGCATTTCGCATATCTCGCATAGCGTCGTGCGCTTGGTCGCTGTTGGGTCGCATAGCGGTGCCAAACGCCGGGACATTGTTTCTCGTGATGTCGTAGAGACCTTTTTGATTCTTCATTTCCTTTGGAAGGTGGATCTTTCCCACGACGCCACCACCATGTGTTGCATCGTAGAACAAGTCATCTTTCGACACTGGCACCCTGAGTCCCACATTCGGTCCTTTCTTTTGCTTCAAATACGTGCCCTTGTACTTCCACTCGGTTCCGGGCGTCGCAAAGTGCGCCCTGACCTCTCTACGGCGGCCACTTCCGGATATGAGACTTGGACCGAACACAAGGTTGCCGCCATGCATCTGAGCATCCGCTTCACCATGATTTGGCTCCCTTTGAAACGCTGGAAGCCCGTATAGCCTGAGTGGGTCTTCATTCGGGTCAGCATAGGTACGGTGAATGTCGCTGGAGCTTAGGTATTCGTGATGCATGTCTGCCACGCCCACGTGCTCGGGCGAGCCGTGTTGCGCGGCCTCGGAAAGATGAGAGCTGGTGCCTTCGAAGCAGCCCAGACAGCCCTGCAGGGATACCAGAGACATTGAGCGGTGTCGTGTGCGAGAGGTCGACACTCTAGACTCACCTTCAGAGGCGCAGCGTGCGCAAAGTTCGGCAGGCCTGCCAGCAGGCTGCCAGTCGCGATGAAAATGACGATGAATCTCATTGCAGAATGCGAGTAAAGAGGACAAGGGAGGTGATGTGTGGTAGGAGCGGCAAAAGAGAAGATCGAGAGCGAGCTTTTGTAGTACGTCCGAGGCGGAGTGATGAATGCTCGCTGCTACAGCGCTACTTTGCCACGACCATCGTATTCGCTGTGCTGATGAGCAGACCCTTGCCCGCGGCGTGAGGTGGCGGTGGCGAGTGGGTACATGCCAATGCGCGCTTTTACAAAGTCGCCGCCCCCCCCTCGCCACGCGTCTTGCCACCGCGCGCGCAATCACGAATGGCTCGTCGAGGGAGGAGGCATGTACCTCTGACTCTTGGAGCTCGTCTTGAGGGTCATCAGGATAGACTCTACCTGGGCGGCACGTGGCCTCTTGTCTGGTCCAATGCGGTGCACCGGCGTCCAATTCTTGTCGTAGATGCCGTGGTACTGCGGGTGTACGCCCTTCCACGATCCGACCACGCGGCCATGACTAGAGACGTCGTGAAAGTGATCCGTGGGTTGGTACTTGATCTCCGTGCCTGCTCCTTTGCCATGCGTCTGAAGCATCTTGCCTCCAGGCACAGCTTTCCAGTGAGCACCAGGCATGGCGAAAAAGGCTGCGACTGCGCCAGTCTGGGCGCTGCCTTGGATGTAGCCATCTTTGTGCAAGGCAGGCTTCATTTCGTGAAAGTTGGCCTCTTGATAAGGATGTCCGTACACGTGATTCACATCGTCGCGAGGATGCGCGTAATTCAGTGGGTGCACTTCCTTCTTTGGCAGCGCACCATCGCCAAGGCCCTGCGTGGCGTTTGCGATGTAAGCGCGCGCAAGAGTGGATGAGTAGCGCCGACACTCACCAACTTTCTCAAAAGCGATCCACCCACTGGCACAGCTTCGACGCGGGCGCAACAGAGAGCCGCGAGAGCTGCAAGAGCGGACGCTTTGAGGTGAAGCATGGCTTAGGCGTGGCGTGGTGTGCAAAGAAGAGGAAAGTTAAAAATATGCAACAGCGGCGAGCGCACCAGAGCCAGCTGAGTGCGCTTTGAGGTGAAGAATCAATGTGCTCAAATCACGAATGGGATGTTGGGCGCTGAAGGCGGGTGGGTGGATTTATACCGCTTGCTGGAGCCGCGTGGTGCGTGGTGAGTCTCGACCTCGGTCAACGCCATTGCTTCATCCAAGCGCTTGTCATTTGGCTGTGGGCGTTGCGTTGTCTGCTTGCCCTTTACGTCCAGTGTTGTCATTGCGGTTCTCCTTGGACGCCTACATCATGCGCCCATGCAGAGTGAGAACACTAAAGTGAGAAAGTGGCAGTGAAGCTGAAGAGCTGGTGAAATCAAGCTTGGATGCCAAGCTCGCTTGAAATACAATCAGGAATCGGTGTCTGGATTGCCGCCTCTTGGGCCTCGCGCAATGCCTGCAACGCTTGTGCACCAGCTTCGTGTCCCAGACCGCTGAAATTGTTCACAGGCATGTCCGTACAGGGCAATTTGCTCGCGTGGCACTGCAGCGTCGCCAACCTCCTTGCCATTTCCAGTCGCATGGAAAAGGTGGTCCTTGGCCCTTGTCCTTGCCAGTGGCGAGCATGTCGGGGCGGCGCGGGCCCACGCATGTATCAGCGTCAAACTCATTCGGCTAGCGGTGGCGGTCTGACTACACCAAAGCAATGCGCAAAGCCTTTGCGGGCGCACGCAGACGGGCACACTAGACTCGGTTAGACGCTGCTCGAACAAAGTTGGAGTGATGCGATTGTCATCAGCTTGAAATGCAGCGCCGCTCGAGGGAATGCGTGCGGGCAGCTCAATCACGACATTGCGCGCGCGCGCGCGCGCTCGCTCGATGGCGTACTGAATGCGTGGGAGAAGAGCTCGAGTGACACGCTCGCTATGCGTCCTTTTTCATCCTGACGCAGCTGGCGAGCGAGGCGAAGCAGCTTGGTTTTGCGCCATCAAGTATCCGTTTAGCCTCCAAGTGATTCGGTCTGACGCCCACGCCCAGCTCGTGTACGGGATTCTTCTTTCGATCGTATATGCCGTGGCGCGATGGAGAGACACCCTGAAAGGATCCAGTGAGTTTGCCCTTGTGCGATGCATCATAAAAGTGGTCCGAAGGTCCGTGCTGTATAACGTGCCCCGGATTGTCGCCGTGCGTCTGGATCATTTGCCCATCGCCGTAGGACGCGTAATGCTGACCCGGCTTGGCAAAGAACGCCTTCACTGAACCTTTGCGCGAAGTGCCCTCTACCTAGCTCTCATGATGCATTCCTTTTCCGCGCTCGAGCGTATTGGGCCCGGCGCCACCGCTTCCGTAGAGCTCCTGAAAATCCTTGATCGGATTCGCGTACTTGGAGGGGTTTATGGTGGTGGGAGATCTAGTTCGTAGGCTCTTGATGGCTTTTCGAGCTTCTTCGCGCGTCGGCCTGACTTGAGGACCCTTTTCGTGTACGGGGTTCGTGGCTTGATCGTAGAGCCCTTTGCGGTCTGCCGGTATGCCCTGAAACGATCCCATCACCTTGCCCTTGTGAGCAACGTCAAAGAAGACGGCGCCGACGGGTCCAGTCTCATAGGCGATACCTTTCACCGGTCCGTGAGTTCCAAGCATTGTATGTTGGCCAATCATCTTGAAATGATTGCCCGGTTTGGCAAAGAATGCTGTGCGAGTGCCTTGCTGCGCGGTCCCTTCGACATGGCCCGCATAGTGCAGACCTTCGCGTCTTTCGGCAAAGTTGGGTCCAAAGACGCGGCCACCGTAGAGATGAGAGACATCGCCATTTGTATCCGCGTAGTGGGAAGGATGACCGATTGGGATGGGCGTCGTCTGCTGCGTGCAAGCGAGGTCAGCTGTCAGATCGCGTGCAGCGTCGCCTTTAGTACTCGCAACTCACACTCGAGGAGGATGCTTGTTCTGCCTTTTTCCCTGCGATACCCAACGCCTCGCCAAGGCCGCCGGCGCGAGCATGGGTGATTGCGAGCGCAAAGGAGATCACGTAGAGACGCATCTTGGCGCGAATGTTGTTGTGTGATCGCTGATGAGATCGCAGAATGATAGAGTTAAATGGCCGTGCGCCAGAATGAATACTGCGAGACCAGCTCGAAGCTACGGGTAGAAGGCAATCTGAAAAGTTTCCCGATGGGGGGTCGTTCACACCGACTCACAAGAAGGAAGCGTCTTTTTCAAAGAGCTAAAGGGAAGCGCGCGGTGGCGTGGCACATTGCCATCGATTGGTGCTTCAGGACGCACGCCGACATTGCAATCCATTCGCGGGCTGAGAATTGCGCCGCACGGACGCAGACGCTGGCAAGGGGAGTGTGGGTTGGCTGGCTGGCTGGCTGGCGGGCGGGCGGGCGCGGTTGCTTGTCCGCTTGCTTGGCGATGTAGATAGTTGGCCGCGTGGATTGATGAGCGAGCGTGCCGAGCGTCGGTGGCGCGTCTCGTTCGCTACATGAATGATGCAATCGACCATCGGTGCAATCAATGAACGAACTCAGGAGCGACGCTCGAGTTCGTTGTGCCGAGCTTGAGCTAGAGGAACGCAAAAAGGTTCATTCAGCAAATGCAACTGAGCAAGTCGGGGCTCAAACGAACGGGCTCAGGGACCGATCGCACTGCGCTGACTACGCGTACGCCAGCAAGGCCGAGCACGCCTAAAGGGTCGAGTTAGTGATTCATTGTTATTTGCCACTCGCCACCCGCACTCGTCGCGCAACACCTGGAGAAGGCGTCCGCTGGTGTGAGGATCGCTAGAGCGGAAGCTATTGGTGGGGCCTGCCTTCTGTTCCTTTCCCGCTGATCAAGGGCCGCGCTCGATGAACGCCTTCCATGCAGCGGCAAAGTCGCCCGACAGAACCCATTTCGCGAGAAAGCGTCGGCATGGCTGGTCTCACGCAGCCATCCCCTTCGCCTGACCTTTCCGCACGACGACTTCAGACAGCAAAATCGAGCCAGAGATACCGCTGCTCTCGCGCCCATGAATTCCTCGTGATTACAATTTGGCCTTGATGTGATCGTGCGCCTTGGCCACCTCGACGACAGGATTGGACAAGCTTCCAAGACCGTGTGCTGTGGCGCGCAGAGGGGGGTGGTGAGTGGGGGGGGGGGATGGATCCTCGCTGACAGAAGCCTGTCAAGCACTCACAGCCCGAAATGGTCACGACATCGCCGTGCTTCATGAATACGGGCGGATCGCGCTTAAAG